GTTTTGCTAGTCGCTTGCAGCGGCAGGGGAGTAGAGACTATGTGGCCGTGAGAGAAGCGGAATCGACGTGTATTGTAGAGACCATATGGCCGTCGGAGACGCAGAAGCGATGTGCATTGTAGAGACTATGTGGCGTCGGAGACGCAGAAGCAATGTGCATCGTAGAGACTATGGGGCCGTCGGAGACGCAGAAGCGATGTGCATTGTAGAGACTAAGGGCGAGTGGGAGACGCGCAATCGATGAGTTTTGTACCCTCCAGCTCTCCCATAGTCTCTACTCCCTGCCGCTGCAAGCGCTAGCAAAACGCTGGTGAAACGCTGGAGAAACGCTGGCGTACGCTAGCGTGCCGCTAGCGTACGCCAGCGTGCCGCTGGTGACGCTGGTGAAGCTAGATCGATATGCATCCTCTCTTCGGCACTGCCGCTGGCGTACGCTGGAAGCGCTACGCTACGCTACGCTACGCTGCGCTACGCTACGCTACGCTGCCGCAAAGTATAAACGCAGCCTCAACCAGACGGTTTTCCTCGCTAGAACCAAGCGACATCAGCAAGCACAAAGACTACGAAAACGACCCTTTCTTAATTGAAAACTAATTGATTTGCTGATGTGTTTTAATAGTTATTTGTCTGCAAAAGATGCAGCGAGTGATAAAGAAATAATAGAGGCAAAAATGAAGTTGAAGCCTTTAATAGCTTACGCCCAACAACGGTTGGCTCACTTTGAATTCTTTTCATCTGCCGGTCAGCAAATGACTGCGGGCCAGCATGACTGATATCGAAACCAACGAACATACGCGTCTTAGGGAATAGAGCTGCATCGCTAAAAGCGAACGATGATGAAATGTCCGACTAGTCACTTTTCAGAATGCGCCACGCACTGAATATCCATTCAGGGTTACAGAGCATTCTCATCGAGGCGTATCTCTTTATCAACTCTTTCTATACCTCTTTATCAACTGCATACAGTAGTGACACGTAAGAAAGGAACGTAAAGGGGATTCGGTGGGATGGGATGCGATCTTCTATTTGATTCCAGTGAGTGTAACAATAACTCGTTATTGTTCCTTATGCTACCTTTACGCTAAAGATCTGACTCAAATCTGATCTGCACTACTGGTGAAGTGAAATCTAGTGGAAAATGAGCATATATAAAATGTTAGCAGCAGTTAGCGTGCGCGACGTTGCAAGACCCCCATCAACGCTTCCGCTTTTAACGAGCGCGTTTGGACTGCAGGTAGCAGGCAGACAGGCTTGCAAGCGATACGGCAGAAGAGCATAAGGATACTTGTTATGAAGGTGACGCTATAGGGGAAAGAACCAACATCATTATGACACCTGCAAGCGAGAAACTCATTCGAATCCACACAGTCGTCGCCCCATACTCTCACATTTCTCGAAATAGAAGAGGTCATTCTGAGAATTTCTAATGATTTCTCCTTTAGTGCTGAGTAGCACTCCATTCTCCAGTAGCATCCCCATATTGGAAACACGAGGCGTTCAATATATGAAATGAGTTTGCAGAGAAGACCCATTGCTGCGACTCGAATAACTGCCTTTTGTGAAGTTTCTAGCGGAGCACCATTTCTACAGTGGTTTCCCCTAGTATCTGAGTCAAAAAATGAGCTTACGAATCTCTGATTACTCAGCGCATACAGCCGCTAATGAGCTCGAAACGTGAAACGAATACAAAAGCTTACACATTTCTGAAGCTGGGATTAGCTGAGGTGAAATGATCACATATTTTCAGGCAATGATTGATGCCTCCAAGCTTCAGATTCATTTTCAAGCATAGATTCCCAAGCACCATGAAGGCACCCTGAAAAACAGGAAAGTGAGCTTCTGAAGTAAAGCATCATCGGAAACATTTCATAGAACAGGATAACAAATTTTTAGCAAACAAACAAAACCACGCACTTTCTGCCCTATCGCCTTGGTAAGGGTCTGAGAGCTGACGTGTTGAGTTACGACTCCATATTGAGCTTCGAGGCGTTTCATCAAACCTCAATGGATGGGAGGCGATTAGCAGCCGTTTTCAACAAAGTTTAGGCAAATGATTCCACCCACCATGGATCGGATCCAATTTCATTTTAGTAGTGAACATAATAAATTTGCTGGAGCCACTTATATGTTTCATTAGTGAGTCAACATTTTGCTCGACTTCACTGCTCGTTTCACGGATTTCGGCCTAAATGTCAGGAGCGGTGAAGAAAAAACAGCTCACGTCCTGCCCCCATACCGTCGCAGTTGATGTCGTCGCAATCAGTCTGGGCGCTTTCAGGAGGGATGGTGCTCACTATCGGCGTTTTCCGCATTGGTTGTCTTCTTTATGAAACGATTTATAAGCGATCACAACTGGTACAGAACGCAGCCGGAAAATGGCTCATTATAACCTTCCTAAACCGCCACGACTGACTACGACGGGATCAACAATGTTTGAGGGAACATCCCTACTAACAATACCAATGGGATGTGGTCACGAAAAATGGACTCAACACGAAAGAGTCAACAATGGACCAAAGTTAATTACCAATTAACCATGGCTTCGCCTTGGTAGTTGTGGCCACTCCCAGCAAAAAAAGAGGAAAACGAGATGGAAAAGAGAAAAGAAATGGCTCACGTCCCGAGCTTGTATCTGCACACCGTGCTGTGAGCTGTACCTTGCCAATGCCTCGACGAATGATCTGAAACGGTGAACAAATTCCGCTTCTAGCCTCTCAGGAAACCATCAAGGAAGAACTCTACGGGCATACTCTGCATCATTTTTGCGGACGCATGCGTCGAAGATAATGAAAGTCCATTTCCCATACAGCTTAGCTGGTTCAGAAAACTGTTCCCTTGCTCCTAGTCTCCACTGCATGTCCCCTTGATGATTTGGCTGAACCTTCATGGAACCTCCATAAGTGATTGCAGGCGGGTGGAAACGCCTCGCGACAGCCCGCATCGGTCGACTACTGATCTTGATCTAAACACTGATATGATAATCAACGTAACTAAAAAAGACCGCCTATCTAGACAAACGTAACCCTTTTCGACAGTATTCAAATATTTACATTGGATGATTCGCTTACTAGTAGTATCGCTGTAAGCCTGTCACTTCAGCGCTCATATCCTTCGTTTCCTACTGTCATCCGTGCTATCACAAGCCGAGTGCCTGTCACGTACTTATACTTAATTTTTGTTTCTGCCTCAACGCACATCCTTTGTCCTCAATAACATGTCACTTCGCATCACTATAGTTCAGTGGTACTTCTGTCACAAAGTAAAAGAAAAGCTCCAGCGTTCCCACGCGTCGGAACATATAACTGCGCATTCACTTGCATTTTCACCATTACCAACTGTTTGGACCACATCGTACGGCCTCCACTATTTCATTGTCAGCTGCCTAAACGCGCACCTAACATGGAATTAAGCTGTAATTTTAACCGGGGGCAGACATAAAACAGTCCAGTTCGCTGAGGACAGGTGTGTCAGGCGGGATGGGTTTGGCGCGGTGTCAAACCCGTTCTCCGAAAGTTCTGAAGCGAGAGCGAGCAAGTAACAAAACACTATCACATCGTTCGTATCACTCGTTTCTACAGTTGTTGTCGCATACTAGCTTTCTAGCGCACAACGTGTTCGGCGCCCTAGCACACTCACACTGCCTCACACGACCCTTCGTCCGCAGCGAACCGGAGTACAAACGCCTCCATTCGCTTCGATTTCCATTGGCACTACTGTAGAGTTTAGTTCCGTCTAAGCTAAGAAATCGTCTGATGTTTTGAAGCATTGAGAAAAAAACAATAAATGAAAATCTTTAGGAAGCACGGGACTTCCACAGATGGCCTTCACAGACCTAGCCTCCCGTCATCCCACTGGTTCCTGGTAAGGCTTCGCCTCACCATAGGGGTTCAGTAAAGATGCGAATCAAGGACCAACAATGGCCGTGTGTCTTCTCTGACAGGTAGGTGCAATAAGAAGTTGGGCGAGATATTTCAAGGGTGCTAACTCAATTCTGTGCCCACTCACTTAGTGTTGTACATGCCGTAGTGCATCTGCAGGAATTCAGTGCAGCTGACGACAAAACGCTTTCAGTTTTCCGTGGAACTTTGTGCAGAGACCCACAAAAGACGATGAATCTCGAAAAGCTCATCACAAATATGGGAACCAAAAATGGCACCAGTATCTCGTAAGCGAGGTGCGAACGGCCAAGGCTTGAAGTAGTGTAATGCACGTAATGCAACAGTGACAAAACACCACAGTTGTACCGTGAGCTACCCAGTTGCACTGGCGTGGTGAATCTATCGCTTCACCGGTGGTGGAAGGGATTTGTTTGGCGTTGGCGCCAAAAAACTTTGCTTGTATCTCCGATGAACGCTTCAGTACCATTTCTGACATCCCTTTAATCTTGGCCCCAACAGAGGGAATGAGCTAAGAATCTGACAGATAAAAAAAGAGTTACCTCCTGCAACCATGTATTTCAAAGATTGCATCCAGACCTCAACTTAGGTGAGCTCTGTTCTCGGGTGTAGTCTGATCCCCTGGACGCCAACAGCTAGGTCTATTTGATACACAAATGCCTGACATCAGTGATACAAAGCAGTGTCGTGGATATAGCCGAAAGAACCTCGTCGGAGTTTGCAACGCAGCGTTTTCGCCTTAATTCAAGCGATATTCGCTCCCGGAATGTCAACTTACCCTGAAACTGTCTATGGCCGAATCGCGATTTCGTCTGTCCCCGAAAAGTGCCTGTAAAGTGTACTGTGGAAGAACAGTCCGGTTCGTAGTGAACTCTACACTGAATCCTTTTGGACCCCACATTCCATAGGGTCCTAGAGGACAAGCGGCGGGCTTGTTGGTGTCAGTCGGATGTGCGGTGTATGCAATTCCTTTAGTCACACGACTAATCTGTTAGTGCAAGAACACAAGAGAATCATGCCAAAGATTGAGGGATCGTTAGAGGTCACAGAATGCTTCCTTATCATTATCAACACCACCCTCAGTTGATGTTAGACGTTCGAAAATAAGTGGGTAGGTTCTGCAGGCAGTCCCTCCCCAAGAGCCCCCCCCCCACACGCGATACTCTTTTACAAGGTCCAGACAAAAAAACTTTTTATGATAAAAAAACGCCATTACTTATGGGTCAACCTAAAAAGGGTGGACATAACCACACGCAATCGATTATGCCTATTTCCTAGGAAATTTCGGAAATTTCATCGGGGTAAAAATTTTCACAAGTTTCTTTTTCAACGTCGTTCTCTTCTGATCCACTCTTTATACGACGAGGGTATCATAGACGCGAATTAATGCGCATAGGAAACAGGCGTACTCTCCTGTGTGTCGGTGTCGACCCTTTTCAGTTTAGCTGTGCGTTACATAGCAAAAAGAAAAGCTAACCAGTGAAGGTCAACAGGTTGTCATGACCGTTCAAGATGGAATGCATTTTGACGTGTGCGTCTCAGGACACTCAACTGAAAGCTGCCTCAGAACTCGCGGAACGATTCTCTAGGAACTAAAGGAGGGGAAGGGTGGTTCTAGCACCGCACCCGCCGATTCTCCTTTCTGCAAGCTCGAGTTATGTTTGAGATTAGACGGTAGTAAGCGGTCGATGGTATAGTGGATAGGTAAGTTGCTTCATTGGCGCGAGGTCAGGGGTCAACACCTTGACAGGGAGAATTTTCGCTGTTTACTGGAGCATCTTCTGTAAGTCCAGATAGGACTTTGATCCCGTAATTTCGTCAAACTTGCTCTCCATTGCAACAGAAAAGAGTCGAATGCCGACAAATGTCCTTTTTCAAGAATTTCATTAAAAACGTTTCTAAATTGTGAAGTTTATAACATTGAAACGAGTCGGGGTCGGCCAACGCATGAACACGTCCGATTGATTTAGGAAGGAAAGAGCCAGCGGTAGAAAGGCTGCAGGGGCGACCGCGATTGCGACCGGACTGGTTGAGATGATGTCAATCGTACATGAGTTATACAACTACCAGTCGGATCGCCCGGCTAACGCCGAGCTCTCCTCCTTCTTGGAAGCCCGGCTTCGCCGGGCTCATGCAACTGCTTTAGAGCCTCACTTCTTAGCTCGTGAAAGAAAGGAGCAAAGTAAGGCATAAGCAGGGCGATACTACTGTCTTAGGCATTTATGATGCTCTCATGGTGACTAACCGCTGTCTTCTAATCAAATAAATGTAGAAACGCGCCATATGATCGCAGGGCACTTTCATAATGAAAAGTTCAAAATCTGGTCATGGATAATCGATTACTCTCCTCCCCATCTTATGACAGCCATGGATGCTTCGGTCTCCGCAGTCGCTGCGTGCTCCTGTTCAGGCGAGTCGGTCGCGCCAATATGGTACCCCTTCACCTCACCTATCCCCAAACTAACCTCAGCTATTCCCCGCTCAGCCACCCTACGCTCAGCTGCTACGCGAATAGCCCGTAATGCACTAAATTGGTTGTGTTACGTTGTGGAGGGTGGCTATCAAAACGCTACCACAGTTTGATAATGCAACATTAATCGGTTCAGTTCCGATTGCGGTCGATCCATTTTCTTCACATCTTATCGCAACCGTAGACGCCTTACCGCCGCAGGCGCTATGTGCTCCTATCTGGAAATCGCCGCTTCCTTCCCCCCCCCGAAAAGATCTGGTATCCTCCTCACCACATCATATCCCACTGACCCTATTTGACCGGCGCCCACTCCCGCACGTGGTATGCAGCCGCCACGTGAGCAGCTGGTGCAGCATAGGGACACTACGCCGTTGACTCGCTTCTTAACCACCCGCTTTGCTCGTGCTCACGTCCAACTCCCCAAGCGAGCAGCTCCTGCAATAGCACAGAGTCTATCACAGTGGTTGGCTTAGATAGCGGAGCGATTCACAATCCAAACAACTTCTTAGTTCGTTGCTGTAACATGGATTAGCTTGCAGTTTTGCTAGCGGTTTTCCTTCTCTCTTGCCGCCTGCTCCTATTCAAGCGTACGCTACGCATCCCCTTACTGTACCCAGTTTGCCCGATTCAATCCATATGCCTCCTTCCCCTGCATGGGCTCAGATCCGACTGAGCACGCGCAAGGGAGTGAGAATAGGAGAAGAGGTCACTTGGTACCCACTCCCGCCTTCCTCACCTCATCCCTTTCCGTTCTCGCCACTCCCTTCCACATCTTGCCCCTGCACGCGCTCACGTGCAACTACCACACCAGCAACCCACAATGGCTCGGAGTGTGGTGGTCCCCTTATATAGTGGAAAGTGTTATCATGACAGTGTTATCATGACCAAAACAACTTTACAGTTCGTAACGGTAACATGGATTAGCTAGCGGTCTTCTTACCGGTTGCTTCCTCCACCTTTGCTGCTCGTTTCTACTCAAGCGCGAGCTACGCACCCCTTCCTGCACCCCCTTCCGGGACCCCTCCCCTCTGCCTCCCTCTCGTACAGTGTGCTCAGCTCGCGGCTGAGCACCGCATGCAGGAAGAGAGGCAGGGCGGCCCCCGGCACCCCCACCCCACCCTGCCTCCCGCACGAACACACGTCCAGCTGCCACGCCAGCAGCTCGTGCAATGGCTCGTAGTGTACCGAGTGGTTGTCCTTATGTAGCGGGCTGTACGACAGCATCAAATCATTTGGACTGCTACATCCTCTCACCAGGAATGGTCATCGGTCAGCCCGGCCATTTCCAATGAGCTGCACACCATTGTACGCGTCTTTGCGACGGTGAGCTCAGAACTGTCTTCAAAATTTGCAGAACGATTCTCTGAACGGAGTTATGGAGGGTTTTATCCCCGCACGGTCGTTTCACATGCTATCGCGAGGAAACGTGAAGTGTCTTTACATTTATGTATGGAGTCGTCCTGAAACGTGGCAGCAGAGCGCAACGGATAGCGAGCGGGTTTACTAGGCGAGACGTCGTAGGGTCGGTTCCCGGAGGGTGCCTTTTTTTGCATTTGTCCAAGAACATGGCCGACA